CACCAATCTGTTCTCTGTAACTATAAGCTCCGTTTTTTTTCTATTAAGATTCTACATAGAAGTGAGATCACATGGTATGTGTCTTCCTCTGTATGACTTATTTCACTTAGCATAATGTCCTCAAGGTCTATCCATGTTGTTGCAAATGGCAAGACTTCATTCTTTTTTATGGCTGAGTAATATTCCTCTGTGTGTGTGTGTGTGTGTGTGTGTGTGTGTGTGTGCGTGCACTGAATTTTCTTTATCCATTAATTTGTTGATGGACACTTATGTTGTTTCCATATCTTGGCTATTGTAAATAATGCCGCAGTGAACATGGGGGGTGCAGGTATCTTTCTGAGTTATAGTATTTTCAGATTTTTCACTTGTTTCATGAACAATGTAGACATCATTGTTTACAGTCTTTATGATAACTCCAATATCTCTATTATTTCAAGAGTCAGTTTCTGTTGCCTGATGTATCTGCTGGTTCTCATGCATAGATCTAGTTTCTTTGTTTTCATTATCTCTGAATATGTGCTACATGTTGTATCTGAAAAAACAGTTTTGTAATAATTTGAGACTTACAATGAAGGCCTTCCTGCCAGGCACCTGGGAACACTCCCAGCCTAGAACAAGCTTAAACCAAGTAAAATGTGTGAAAGATGCTCTAAGTTAATTGTATTACAGCGGGGATGTTTCATTTCTAGTTCACCTTCATCCTAAGATTATAGCCATTTGGGGTCCTAGCTTTTGATAGGAATGCATTTTTGGTAGACACCCCAACTTATGCAGAGCCTGATCTTTTATTTCTGCTCTATTAGCCACAGGAGGCTGTCACACCAAATTTGCAGGATCAGGAAGTGCCCTTAGCAAAAAGTGTGGCTTCTATTCTTGTTTATGTCCCTGGCTTCCAGTTTTTCCTTACTTTAGACCTGGTGATTCTTTATCGTCTAATCATCACCTTAATGTGTTTAAGAATACGTTTTCTGTATTTTATCCAACACTTATTTGTTTTCAGAAGGAAGGTTAATTTAAATATTCTAGCCACTATTACCAGAAATGTATCATCAACTTTTAAAATATACTAAATGCCTCAAAAAATAAGGTCATGTTTTACTGCTATGGCTCTTAAATCTAAGTTGCTAACACCACAAGATGGAGTACAAATCACAGTTCAACCATTGTAAAAACTGTCAGACCACTACAAATACAGATTTTATTACAGAAAATTACTACAGAATTTTCTTTCCCCTCTTTTTCTTAACTCATTCCAGCTATCAGTCTATTCTGGGCCATGCAATAAAAGGCTTCAGTCTCAAAATCTAACTTTTTTTCCCTATGGATCCCCCAGATGGCAATCCTATACATGTTCAGCCTTTACTTTGGATAAGAAAATCAAGTCACATCATTTAAAATTAAACTGTTTATTTTTATTATGTAATTAAAAGAGTGTAGTACACAGATGCACATGTATATGTTGGCTAGAAATTGAGATAAGTTTTCACAAGTGAGAATGAAGAATGCCACCATAGAACCATCGGCCTCAACCTCACTTGTCTGAATAAGATGGCATAGCCTAGTTTCATCACAACTGAGAGCACACTATTTGGCATTTTCCAGTGTCCTTGAAGGTTTTAGTTACCTACCAGAGGACAGGTCATGTAGAAATAAAAAATGGTGCCAGGTTCCAAGTGCCTTCAAGTGACAGAAATAAAGATTTAAATAAACAGAAGCTGAGTCGGCCAAGGAAAGTGGCTCTGCTGTCAAAGGACTCTAGAGTACAAAAGTAGAGGGTTTACTTAGGATTTCAAGGAAGCGATAGAGAAATCTTCACTAGTTTTTATCCTTGAGATCCTTTTGGTGGTTGTGACCCTACAAGTGGGATAATCCTAGGATCGTTTCCAACCCTAAGGATATCTTAGGACCCAAGAAACCTAATTTCTGGCAATTCTGACTATCATAAAGCCTATTCAATAAGTCATTATCTAATGTTGTATCTGGAAATTGTTATTACTATTGTTTCCTATTTGAATGATCATCGCATTTCCTGCTTCAAAATGATATCTAGAAATAATGGCTTAGGACCACATTCTCAATTTTTAGGTGAAAAGTAGTCTCTGGAGACATCAGACACAATAAAATACTCCCTTAAATGACAGTGCAGTATATGGATTGGGGATCAGGAAAGCAAGAGTGTTCTCTTAGGAGATAGAGAAATTGATAGAGCAATTGAAATTATGCCATCCACCCCTTATGTGCTATGTAGGAGGGAAATTCTTGCCTTACCTAACCAGTAGATGGAGCTACCAAGATGAAAAATAAATTTTGATCTGGTTTAGTTCTTTTCTGACCCATATGCTCTTGAAAATTTGAAAACATTTCACTCTTTTTTGTGTGTGTTTCAACATAGATAGTTTCTTTTGATTTATCTTTAAGTTCATTTTTTTTTTTGGAAGATGTTGGGGGTAGGAGTTTATTAATTAATTAATTTATTTTTGCTGTGTTGGGTCTTCATTTCTGTGCGAGGACTTTCTCTAGTTGTAGCAAGCGGGGGCCACTCTTCATCGTGGTGCGTGGGCCTCTCACTATCGCAGTCTTTTTGCGAAGCACAGGCTCGAGACACGCAGGCTCAGCGGCCATGGCTCACAGGCCTAGTTGCTCCGCGTCATGTGGGATCCTCCCAGACCAGGGCTCGAACCCGTGTTCCCTACATTAGCAGGCAGATTCTCAACCACTGTGCCACCAGGGAAGCCCTTTAAGTTCATTTTTAAGTCAAAATCTTTCAAATATTGGCAATTTCATATGGCTCAATATAATAGCTTAACCTAATGGGCAAAATTCAGATTTGCTTATACACAGCTGAATAATATTTTTTTTAAAAAAAGACTTTGCCAATTTACTTACATTGACAGTGTGTAAAAGTATCCATTTTCTTTCATTCTTTCCAACCTGATATTATCAATAATTTTTACAAACCTGAAGAGGAGGTTGTGGGAACTCGGGGGGCAGTCTTGTGGGACTGAGCCCTTACCACGTGGGGTCTGTGCTTTGAGTAATTAGTATCAGAATTGCTTAATGTGGGGGGAAAACTCATACATTTGGTGTCAGGAGTGTTGTGAGCAGAGGAAATAATTTTTTTCTTTTAATATGTGTGAAGGAAAAACCACCCTTAAACTCACTTATCTTGGGGAAGTGGGGGGGGGTGCCACAAATCTGACACTGGAAATGGCCTTTCCCCATGTGAGTCTTCTGAACTGAACCAACTGCCATCTATCTGAGCTAGGATAACAATATTCCTAACCAAAACAGGGAGAATAGTGATATGATCCCAGGAAGTCCTTGTACCCCTAGACGTCTAATCTTATCTATTTCATTTGGTCTTATAGTTCATAGTTCTTGAAACTGTAGAGACAGAACTGAAGACTGGGCCATGTTTGGGGCAGTGATGTCTCTAAGATCAAAAGAACCAAGACTTGGATCTAGAAGTGAGCAGTGGAAAGGGAAAGTATATGGTTGTAACTTAAGAACCATCTCAATCCTCCCTGAGTTAGTAGTTGTCATCCTCTTACTTATGCTGCTCCTAAGAGATTCCATTCAAGCCTTTGTGGCTCAGCAGTGGGCACAAACATAGCTCTTCTCCTTCCAGAATAGTGTTCAACAGAAAACCTTGACATAAACCATGCATTGTATCTATATTATGCCATCTTCCTGGAGTCAGGTGAGAAGGCCAGAGGATCCAATCTGAAATGCTGTGACTTAAACAGGGTCTTTATTGAGTTCTAATGTAATATCTTAAATTATAGTTGTAAAAAGAAAAGTCTCCCTATGTCCCTTTTGACTACAATAAGGCTGTGCTTACCCTCTGAAAAGTCAGAAGAAGATTAATACAACATTTACTCTTATCAAACCAAATGAGTCCACTCACCCGCACGCAGTAACGCCAATCTACTGACACTGGGTTGTGGTGAAGGAAGGTGCACCATTTATTGTAAGGCACCAGACAAAGAGTCTGGGACAGCTAATGCTCAAAAAACCTTAACTCCCCTATGGGTTTCAGGGAGACATTTTTAAAGGCAACGGGAGGGAGGGGAGTCTCAGGGTATGTGATCAGCTCTTGCACAATTCTCTGATTGGTTGATGGTGAGGTAACAGGGTGGTGTCACAGGGGTTAACATTATCAATCCTCAGGCTCCGGTAGCTCTGGGGGCTACAGTGCTCATGGTCATCAAGTAGTTAACTTCTTCCATTTGGTAGGGGTTTTAGCATCTGTAAAACAACTCAGGAAATGTGCATCAGATACTGTTATCTATATACTTCAGATAAGAACTAAAGATTCTGTGACTGCCGTATGGCCAATTTACTGTTTAAATTCTTATCAGTTCTCCTGGCCCAACTGCTATTTTTGCCACTACATGTTCACATCCTTTCAGTCCTTAACTCTTGAGCCAGGCTTTTGTGACTCAGGGGCGGCCTGGGAGACTACAGCTTTTCTACAAAAAGGAGGCAGGCAGAGGACAAGGTGGTGAAGGGTCTGTCCCAGGAGAATTCTATAGGGTCCTGCTCTGTTACGTGCTAAAGAATTTGGAGTTCATTTCTGAAGGTGACAAGGAGCCACTGAAGAATGTTAAAGGGGGAGTGAGTGACTCTCCCACTTACCAGCTGCGTGGCTCTGGAAAAGCCATCTCACCACTGTGAACCTGAGTCTCCTAATGGGTAAAATAGGGATAGATGCCTATCGTCTGGGGTGATGGCAAAGAATGAACTGGCTCATGACCATGAGGCATCCAGCTCAGCCCTGGTATGCAGCAGCTTCTGGGCAGCAGATCAGATTCTGTGTGATCCCTCCCTGCAGAGAAGAAGCTTTAAGGAGGCCAAGCAGGGCTGTTCTGTGGCCCAAGGTCCCTGGTATGGGATTTGTGGGTGAACACCTTTGAGCAGACTTCCTTCTAGGGCACTGGGAGGACTCCATCGAGGCTGTGCTTGCTGTGCTAACTTACCTCTTGGAGCAGCAGAAGCTGAAACCTTTTTTTTTTTTTTTTTAACACAAGAGAACTCTTAGCTTGGGGTTGGAAACCATCTGCTTTCTTCTATTGGTGAGCTGCAAATTCTAATGATTATAATCTATTAAATACTTACAGAGCACCTATTAATACCTGGAATCTTCTGGCTACTGGAGATATGTCAGGGACCAAGACAGACAAATTTCTGCCCTCATGGGCCTTTCATTCTAGTGGGAAAGGCAAATAAAATACAAGTAAAATGAAACTAACATAAAATTTTTGGTAAGTTGTAATGAGTGCCTTGATGGGAAAAACAAGGATCTGAGTGAGAGAAGAATCGAAGTAGAAAGTCAGGGAAGACTACACTGAAGAGGGGACATTGGAACTCAGACCTAGAGGAAGAAGAGGAACTAGGGTTGCAAATAAGGGAGGGACCAGGAGGAAGCTTTCTGTGTGGAGGGAAAAGCACATGCAGAGGCTGGGAGGTGGGGAGGGGCTTGGTCTGGGATGGGAATTGAAAACCACCAGTGTGCCTGCAGCAAGGGGAGCACGGGGGAGGGGGACTGGACATTCGGAGAGACAGTTTGGCTTCATATCAGAGGGGTTAAGAATGTAGGCTTGGGGAGTGAATCATATTTTCTCTGCTGCTCATTATCTATGTGATCTTGGACATGTCACCAACCTTTCCAAACCTCAGTTCTCATCTGGAAAATGGACTCAAAAGGAATACCTGCCTCCTAGGAATATTGTGGCTATAAATGAGTAAATACTTAGCAGTGTGCCTGGCACATAGTAAGTGCCCCACTCCTGTTAACTATAATTATTAGTAATAAGTGGAGGGTGGGTTGGAGCCAGACAGACTTGTGTTGAAACCTGGCTCTGCTGCATGATTGCTTTGTGCCATAGAAAGTAAGCCTCCATGCCTTCTGTCTCCTCATCCATAAAATGGACTTCATATTCCTGGGGGGGGGTAGGTTATTATGGGGATTATATGAAGTGATTTATGTGCAGCCATCCTGAAGGTCTTACATGTTTTTTTTTTAACACAATGCTCTTTTCAGAATAGCTGAGAACATTTATTGAACATTTAACATCCCATTATGTATTTTTAAGAATGTTTTTGTTTTTGAATATATGGTCAAATCCAAAATGTACAAAAAACATATACAGTTAAAAATCTCCTTCCATCTTGGACTCCTAGCCCTCTGTCTTAGTCTGTTTGGGCTGCTATAAAATAATACCACAGGCTGGGTCACTTGGACACAACAGAAATTTATTTCTCACAGATCTGGAGGCTGGGAAGTCCAAGATCAAGGTGCCTACAGATTTGGTGTCTGGTAAGAGCTCAATTCCTGATCTATAGATGACTATCTTCTTTTTGTGTCCTCACATGCAGAGGGTGAGGGTGCTGTCTGGGGTCTCTTCTATAAGGGCACTAATACCACTCATGAGAGCTCCACCTTCATGACTCAACACTCACCAACGGCCCCACCTCCTAATACCATCACTTTGGGAACTAGATTCCAACATATGAATTTGGGAGGAAACACAAATATTCAGTCTATAGTACCTTCTAATGTCCTTTCCAAAAGATAATTACTATTGGTTGTTTTCTGTCATCTCAGAGACTTTTATGCTTTTATAGGCAAATAAAGGGAGACATCCTTCCCTCTCTCTCCCTTTGTACACAAATGTTAGCATAATATACACACCATTGCACCTTGCCTTTTTCAAATAACTTATCAGGAGTAGTATTTGCTCCAGAGCTCCTCAGCAGGTCGATCAAGGCTGTCAGGCCTTCATTGCAGTCTGATTTCTTCCTCTGCCCAATCCTTTGTCCTCATTCTTCCTTTCACAAGGGTTCATCCCTAATAATCATCTTGTACCCTAAACTCTGTCTCAGCCTCTGCTTCCAGAAAGTCCAACCTGAGCATTTTGTATGCCACTGCAACAATTTATAAAGTCTTTGGAGTCTTATAAGACTGTTCAGATAACACTTCTAGGGACACATTTATTTTAACAGAGAACAAAACAAGTTGTTAACATTAGAAAATATGCACCACGGCTCCACTGTGCACAGGAGAATAAGCTTGATATTCCTGTGAATGTTTTTGGTTTAAAACCTTATCAAATCAGATTTTTTGAGCTGGTTTATGATGCAAAATGTTCTCTCTCCTTCTGTCTGTAAGGGAGAGGGAACATCTTCAATTGTTTCTAATTGTACTTTTATGAATTATGAAGGCTTGCATTTTAAGGTCAGGGTTTGCAATTTCACTAGTTAACACTAGAAGCAAAATGCAAACCTGATAATTTTATTTGTAGAATCAAGAAATGGGTCAATAAGATTTTATTCAACACTGGTGAAACAAGCACCATACAGCATTTTATTCTACAGTCACCACCACTCCCTATTGTCACACATATGGATTGCTTTACTCACCAGCATAGGTGTCCCCCAAGAGTGTATGAACCCACAGGGATATATAAAGATGTTCTAACAGGTACATTGGCAATGATAGTTTAAGGGAATCAACCCCCAAACATCAACTTCCATAAGCACTCTTTCATTACATTGTGCAGCCTAAGAACATGCCTGTTGTAAATGCTTGAAGCTGGTTCACCTTTTCCACCTCCTCTTTCCCACTCACCCTTCTCCCAGTTTACAAAAGAAAGGCATATCTCTCACCCATCCCAAATCATGATACACTACCCTGGGGATAAAAAAAAAATCTCTGAGTGTACCAAAGAGACAAAGGAACTATAAACCAGAGGTAAGTTTTTGTGTCTTTCTCTATTTTATACTTATGGGTGTTAGGGGCAAAGTCACGTATTAGAAATGGATATGTTAGCCCATGTTGAGATGTTCTGAGTCCTAGTATACTGTAGAGAGGTAGGGCAAAGTTCATGACAATTTTTATTTGAAGACCTTGCCTCTTGCTCTGTTATTTTAAAAAAAAAAAAAAAGATGCTTGGCTCTGAGGTGAAAGTCTTCTGAGAGCAAGGCAAAGAAATTGTAAGTAAGAAATACTGATAACAACCGCACCTTATCTAGGATAACAAACATGCACAGCTCTATACCTGGTCTATTCATCTATGAATTAGGCTGTATAAGAATAGGCTAGGGTATGTTAAGGCTCAAACAACTCCAAAATCTCAGCACCTTACACCAACAAAGTTTTGTTGTTTATATTACACTAGGGTCAACTGAGAGGGAGGAAGAAGGCCAGTTGTTGTGCCAGAGTGAAAAAGAGTTCTGGAGCATCTCAAACCAGAAATTAAATGCTCCAGCCCAGAAGTGACACGCAACACTCCCACTTCCAACTCACTGGTCAGAAGTGGTTACATAGCTCCACCCAAACACAAAGAGGATGTAAAATCCTAAAGTAAGCTAAGGCAAGAAGCTGGAAATATTGTGAGAACAGCATAAATGCCATCACAAAGAGTGATATGCAAAAAGCATGCTGGGAAATATCACCTAACTTCAAAGAGCAGTCTTCCTGCATTATCACCATCCTCAGTAAAGAGGTTGATCTCATTCATCCGTGACTCAGTCTTTTTCTCAGCTGAACAGTCCGCATGATTTCAAAAAAACCTGAAAAGCCCTTTTACTTCTAACAGATCAACATTATATCTTCAAGTAAAAGGAATGTATTGAAGGTAAATTGGTGTTTTCCATTTTCTGTAACAATTTAGAAGGGATTGTTTCATTAACTTTTGCCAAAAAAAAAAAGGGGGGTACTAGATAGCGTAAATCCATATTTATATTTTTACTTAGTGGCAAATCTGCTTGTTATCACTCATCAGTCATTTCTCTTCCTAACTGGGACGTGTTAGTAGATTCTATTGTAAATCAGCTACTTACCAACGGTCATTAATACACTTTTTTAGCTCCACACTTACTGGCTAGAACCGGGCTCCCGGATGGACAGACCACGGCGGTAGCTCTCGGATCCGTCGCGGCGGCGGCATTGTGCGTATCTCACGGAAGGCTGCTGGCGCCACCCTGTGGTCTCCTGTGCACATTGCGACCTTAGCTCTCCACAGAAGCTGCAACCGCCAGTGCGCACGGGCCCAGCGGCGCGGAGGCTGGCCGGGTGCACGCTTTCTGCAACCTCCCCCCAAAGCCCCGTGAGAAATACTTGCTTCCTCAGAGCCGGCAGGGGCAAGAAATTAGCTCTGGTCAGGTCGGCGGCAGAGGCGGCGGGCGGGTAGAGGAGAGAAAGGGGTTGTGAGTGTCAGATTTGCCCCGGTACCCAAAAAAGCACCCAACTCAGGGGCTGCTCCTTCATATCCGACGTAACTGTTTGCTTGGGGCCGGCAGGTGTGAGAACCCGACTCCCGAATGAGCTGGGTGGGCACTTGCAGCGGAACCGCGCAGCTGAAAAACCCCTTGGTAGGTCAGGGGGGATGGAGGGAGGGCTCGATCCTGCTCACGGACCTGGCGGCCGCGCCACCCCACGGGCGCCTGTTGCGGTTGCAGCCTCGGCTGCCGCCTAGCGCAGGTGCTGCCGGGAGGCGCGGGGCGCGCGGGAGTTTGCGGCTGGCGTTGGCCTCCGCGGAGGCCTGGTTAAGGGGGCCACCTGAAGGGGAGGGTCGCTGGCTGTCTGGGCGAGACCTCAAGAATAAAGGCGGCTGGAGGCGGTGGTAGCAGCAGGGAGGGAGCAGGTGGAGAGTACGAGACGGCTGTCCAGTCAAGCCCTGATGAATTCCTTGCTGGTTCCACCACCATCAAGAGCCAGGAAGGGACCCCGGGCCGGCGGAACCGCAGGCCTGTGGGCAGGGAGCCCCCAGGCTCTTCACGGGCTGCTCTGAAATGCATTTGGGAACCATGGAACTTCTCCCTCAAGGGTCCAAGCCCTGTCCTATCCCGGAAGACAAGTTTCCAGGACTGAGAACAAGGGCCCAGAGGGGATTGATGCAGCTGGCTGGGAGAGAGGAGGAAGGTGGGGTTTTCCTTCCTTCGCCCTCAGACTCAGCAGGGACAACACCCAGGGCCTGTTGGACCTATCGAGGCTTCATCTTAGACGTTTAGAGCTTCATCTGAGAAGCTCCTGGGCCCATCCTGTAATCCCCAGGTCTGTTCCAGACCTAAGCACAACTCTCCAGAGTAGACAGTTACGGAGCTGAACAGGCAACTGGGTGTGAGGAGAGTGGTCGTTTCTCACCTTCCAGGCTCTGTAGGATGAGCCCTAAACTCATTTGGGGACCACAGGAGCTTCTACAAGAGTCCAGGCCCATTTCAGAACACTCAGAAGTTTCCTAGCCTGAGAAGGAATCACCAAAGTGGATCGACTGGTTTTGGGTAAAACAGGAAGAGTTGGTTCCATTCTGGGTCTTTCCTGGCTCCCAAACTCAGCCGGGAGAAAAACCAGTGCCTTCTGGATTTAGAAATTTTCCCCCAAGAAGCCAAAGATAGCCAGACCTATCCTGTAATTCCAAGTCTAAGAATTAGACACTGGAGGCATAGCTGGCTGGAAGGTGTCTGGCAGTCCTCACTGCCACCAGAGTTAGTTGGAGACAGACCCTCAGGGGTAGTAAGGGGACAACAGTGGAAGCAAGAAAAAGTTAGGAATTCAGGGGAGAGATAACCGTAGCTTGGACTAGCAGTAGGGGTGTTAAGTGGTGGTATTTGGAATGTACTTTGTAGGAAGTGTAAAAAAAAAAGCTTGCTGATTGATTACATGTAGGGAATATGGGGAAGAGAGGAATCAGGTACAAATCCTAGATTTGGGGCCTGAGCAATAAACTAACTCCATAGACTGAGCTGGGAAACAGCAGGAGCAAATTGGTGGAGCAGGGGAGACAGGAGTAGCAAGAAGCAAAATTTTGTATTGAACATCTTAAGATTCCTATTTGACATTTAACTGTTGGGAAAGCAATGGATACATGTGTGGAGCTCAAGGAAGGATCCTGAACTAGAGATAAACTTTTGAGAATCATCATATATATGTGATATTCAGAGCCATGGGACTAGAGAGACAATCTAAGTGGAAAGTACAAATAAAAAATAGAAAAAGGTCTCACAGCGATAATAGTATAAAAAATGAAAGACCCTACCTAAGAGAGCTGTATATTAAGGTTAGCAATGGAAAGCAGGTTGTCAAAAAGAAAATGCTAGTAAGCTGAAAATCTGGAGCCCCTTAAGGTCTTTTAGGTATAGACTTCTTTGTTAATGCACACTGGCAGTAAAATTGGAGCCAATAAAATTGTTTGCTGCCCTTTATTCCTCATATCTTTGTTTGTTTCTAAATATGGGGTCAAAACCCCAAAAGGGTAAGAAGTTCATCTTCCTGCCTTCCCCTTTCAGCTTCTTGTCACACTAAGCACGTATTATTCCTTAACCCTTTGGCTTAGGATACGAAAGAATAAATTGTGGAGAAGGAGCATGTGTGGAAGGGAAAGATGCCAAAACACGGTATGTGAGTTAAATGGAGATAGAAAATCTCTAAGAAAGGCTAGAAATAATTGGTTTACACATCCTGGAGAAATAAATTCCCCAAATATGGTGTTCTCTGAAAAGATAATTTAATTTTGAGGAAGCAATGGCATGATCTCCAGTGAAACAGCAATCATCTGGAGTCTGGCTGTAACTTTGAGGACAACTTCTGCACGGGCAGGAAAAAAGCCTTGAAGAAAAGAAATAGGTATGTACAATGGGACTGTAAGTATCATATTTATTTTAGAAAATAATATTTTCTAACTTTAAAGAAATAATTTCTTGAAATTTCACAGGCTTTGGGCACAATAAACTAGAATTCAAATCTCAACCTTACACTTAATAACTCCTTGTATCGCAGTTTCTTATCCCAATTACCTCACTTTCTACTTTGAAATCTATATTCTGGCTCATAATATCTAACTTTTATGGATTATTTTTATGTACCAAATACTCTTTCATTTGCCTTGCAGGGGTTATTTCTCTTAATCTTAATAATATTTGTTGCTCTCATTGCCCCATAATATTAGTAGGTGGCTTTTAATATTTTTCCATTATCATGATCAATTTATATAATAAGTATTGTCTCTTCCCCCAGTGTCTGGTAAAACTGTCTGGGCCTGGTGCTGTTTTTAAGGGTAGATCTTTGCCTATCTTTTCAGTTCCTCCTATAGCTAATTTTTTATTCAGGTATTCTACTCTTCTTAAGGCAACTTTGATCATTTGTATTGAAAAATGAGTTGTCTACATTTGTAAATATCTGTATCAAAATATACATACCATTTTAATACTTCAATATCTAATTTTGCTGATGTTATTTGTGTACTTTTTCTTTCAATATTAAATTTTCCGAAGGATTAACTTTTAAATTTTCTTTCAAAGAACCAGATTTTGGTTTTATTGATTAATTCTGTTTTGGGGAGAGTGGGGAAGTATGATCTACTCCAATGATTTCTATCCTAATTTATTCCTTCTACTTTCTTCAGGTTTTATTGTTCCTTTATTAGCTTTTAAATATAAAGCTTAATTCATTATTTTTAATAGTTCTTATTTTCTCATAAATGCATTTAAAGCTATGAAGAGGTCCTCTGACCTCTTCATATAGGTTTTAATATATAGTGCTCACTTTGTTTATTTCTAAATACTATATAATTTTTATTTCGATATCTTCTTTAACCATGTGCTTTTCCCTAACAGTATAGATCAAGGAGAGTATTTTTAGTTATTTCATTACATTATGATTAGTAAATATATCTTGTATGGTTTCAGCTTATTCAACACTTGTTGAGTTTTCATTTGTCATCTCATACATGGTCAGTTTTGAATCAGTATTGCATGTGAATTTCAGTATAATGTACTTTTTCCATTTTGGATACAAGATGGTGTAGGTATAATCTTATACTTATGATTACTTTTGTTAACTATGTTCTTCAAATCCTCTATATCTTCAAAGAAGTTTTAGTCGACTTGGTCTTTTAATTCTTGAGAAAGATGTGTCTGTGTTAACATAATCACCACTATGATTGTTGACTTATTAAAAATCTTTGTTGTATGCACACGCGTGTGAGTCTATGCATGTGTGTGTACCTGTGTTAGGTGCAAACAATTTTTTTTACATTGTATAATTTAAAAGCTTTATTTCCCCTCCCACAATTAGCCAATGGGTTTCATATTAGTTCAACTGGAATTTTTCTTCCTACAATCGCCTTTCAAGTGCAAATAATTCTTGATCACTGCTTAATGGATTTCTGCTTTTCTGAATATGCAATATCCCTCTTCTAGTGCTTTATAGTCATCTTTTATACATATACATTTTGTATATACATATATATTTAAACTTACACTTTTCTAACAACTTCTAGAATAATATCTATATCCTCCTCCTAAATATAACAAATATTAGTTAGCTTATTTTATTTCTCTTCATTCTCGCCATGTCAATATCATCTGGAATTTGAAGTCCAGATTTTCTTTTCAATTTTTTAGGATCTACACCAAAAGACGTATATATTTGAAGTCACTAACAGTTTTGAGCTCTTGTTTCTTCAAAATAGTAGAAAAAATGTGGAGCAGAAACCATACATGTAAAAAAAACTCTGTAATCACAGTTACCTAAACAAAAATCTTAAAATCCAAACTTGAATCAGTAATCAAAACAGAGGGAGATTTCAATACAGACATGATGGATACAATAAATTAATGCTTCTTGTATGACCCAGGATATCACGAACAATGTCACCTGTATCTCTAACCTCACAGTACTTTGTATCTATCATTTATAGCACATTTCTTTTTAAATTTATATTACAGGTAACTTGGTATATGTATTATATTTCTTTGTTATTTGAACCTTTTCTGCTTCATTTATTTCATCTCTCTCCTATCACCTGATTTCTAATTTCTCAATAAATTTATTTAATTATGAAATTAGGTGGATGAATAAATACCAAGTATTCTAAGCCGTAAAGAAATTTTTCTAGAATCTAAACTTATTTAGACTTAGCAATATATTTTACTGGGCACATGGCCCCCTTCTGGTATCGCACATCTTCCCCTTAGAATTTTTTCTGATTCTTGCAGGAATACAACTCCAGAAGTTCTTTCAGGGAGGGCCTGAAAAGTCACCCACACTTAGATGATAGTTTGGCTGGATATAGAAATTTAGTTTCAAAATTATTTTCCCTAGATTTAAAAAAATACCGATTGTCTTCTTATATCCAGTGTTGTCCAAATGAAAAGTCTGACATAATTTGATTTCCATTTCTTTGTAAGAATTTTCTCTGGGTGTTTCTAGAATTGTCTCCTTAACTCTTGTGTTTTGAAATTTTATTGCCATGTCTCTAGGTAAAGATACTTTTAATTCATATCTATATGCTCTGCATTTAATGGGACCTTGCAGTCTGAAGATATATATTCTGTGAAAGTCTCCTTTTCTTTATTTCCTCAGGACCACAATGTATGACACTTGGGTTGTGCACTGCACAACTGCAGGGGATACCATTCACAAAGATTATAATTTAAATGGTGCTCCTGAAGCTGTGCAGTGTACAATCAGCAAACCTTATTTGGTAGACCTGTATTTTATCTTTTACATTATTTCTATTCTCTCCTTCTAAACTCCTATTGGGTGAATTTTGGAACATCTGAATCTATCATCCATGTCATTTAACTTTTTTTCATATTTTCTATCTTTATATCTTTTTATATGGCATTGTGGAGGAATTTCTAGGCTTCATCTTTCAGCTCCCCTATTTTCTCCCAGCTGTATTGATTCTATTCTGGACTCAGTCCTACTGTTGAATTTTTGTGTCAGTAACCAAATTTTAAATTTCCAAGATGTTTGCTGTTCTTGCTCTCTTCACTCTTAACCCATTTGCCATCTTTTTTGTCAGTTTTCTATCATTTAAGGAATTTGGGGTGCAAAATGGGAAGAATGCAACATATGTTTGGGACACTATCTTGAATTAGTAGATATTTCACTGTACATTAGAGATGAAAAACTTACGTAGCACTCAACAGGAGTTCCCTACTATCAACGGCAACAAACAGTTATTGAAATGTTGTGTCAAGCATCAGTCTAAGAATTTTTATATGTATTTACTCATTCACCTTTCAAAAACACATTATAAAGTAAGCATTACTATTATTCTCAATTTAAAGATGAGGAAACTAGGGAATTCCCTGGCGGTCCAGTGGTTAGGACTCAGCACTTTCACTGCCAGGGCCCAGGTTCAATTCCTGGTGGGGGACCTAAGATCCCACAAGCCATGCTGCGCGGCATCCCCCCACCAAAAAAAAAAAAAAAAAAAAAAAAAGATGAGGCAAAAGCATAGAAGGTCCAAAAACTTGCCCTAGTCACACTACTGATAAAGAGCAGGGCTGGGTTACAAACCAGGTGATCTGTTTTATGAGCCTGCGCTCTTTACTAATACAGTGGCATACTCAGAAGATTTTAAGAACACGTCATCCTTCTACACTGCCAGATTATGTATTTACTTTGACACCTCTGTGCCGTTGTGGGGCCCTGCTACATGGTTATCCACCAACTCAATCTAGAAGACTCAGTCATGCTTGTAATTCATGTACATATATATTACTGTTTTCTCCTGTCAGGAAGAATAGTCAGAGTTGTTTTGTTTTACTCTTATAATCGTTGGGACTTTGCTATTTCCCATTATAAATGATTTGCATTTGCTAATCCAGAAAGATTTATCTATTATGCCCCTTCCTGCCTAAACACATCCCACAATCATAAATACAATGAAATTCCCTTAGACAAATGAAAAGATTCCTTCCTTTTTTTCCCCCTAGGCTAGGAATTGAAATTCCAATTCTACCTTGGTTAACTTTCCTGCTAATCCTAAAATTGTGTTCTCTATGCGTACTTGCTATTTCTGAAAAAAAATTCGCTTAAGAATAATTTCTGGGGACTTCCCTGGTGGTCCAGTGGGTAAGACTCCACGCTGCCAAAGCAGGCGGCCCGGGTTCCATCCCTGGTTGGGGAACTAGATCCCGCATGCATGCCACAACTAAAAAGTCTGCATACTGCAACTAAGAAGCCTGCATGTGGCAACTGAAAAAAAACAAGATCCCCTATGCTGCAACTAAGACCTGGCACAGCCAAAATAAATAAATAAATAAAATTTAATAATAATAATAATTTCTGTTGCCCAGTTCCTTGATATTAATGTGAAAGAATTGTGAAAATCAAAATTCAAATACTTAAAAAGACATCACAGGAAAAGTTGCCTACAAAGAAGCTCATATAAGCAAAATCATTCTTATTTGATTTTCATATTGCAGCAGGGAGGAGAAGGAAGAAGCCTACGAAAACAAGGATATGCTCCCTCACTGGAAGTAATCTTATGGTTGATGCATATACAAGTTAATCAGTATGCCTTTCTCCTGCTTATTCTACATGTTATAATAGGGGTCTTAAGTAAGTAGACATGCCAAACTATAGGAAATATACATCTCCAGAGAGAAATTCAAGTAGTTTAAGGCCCATCCCTAGGATTGGGAATTTTATTAAGAATACTGAACAGCCTTTGTCCAGGGTTATATCTGCGGTGTGTCTGAACTCTGTTTCACATTCCCTCTTGGCCTAAGGAGTTTTCCTTCAATGCATTTCAAAATGATAATCCCACTAACTGGAAACTAAGACCTACACAAAGCTCAAACATCATTGCC